AAATAATTTATAAACTAATATTTCCAGATAGTATAATTATTATTAAAAAAAACTACAATGATCAATTACAAAGAATGCAATTTTAGTGACTTTAACAAATTAGTTGGTGGCCATAACCACACCTCACTAAAAGATCTAGATAACTTCTTCTTTTTTTTTTTTTTTAATTTTGAATTGCATATTAAGAGATAATTCTCTTTCATCCTTTAATCTACTTTACTGCATATCATACGATTTAAATTCAAGACATTTTATTTTTAGTAAAATAATATTACTACCGAATTAGTTAAATTATTAACTCCAGATAATTATTTTTAGGTATAGTGGTTACAGTGCTAATAATTTTTTTTCTTTTTTACAACCATTCTTTAAATGGGTTTATAAATAGGGAAAAGGGGAAATCAAGTTGTTTTGGTATTAAAAATATTAAAATATCTAATCACAATTATTAAATATATGAGATATAGTGTGTGTTTTAATTTTATTAAACTTTCATATTATTATTATTAGATATCTTGATATTTTTAAGTTAAAACATTTTAATTTTTTTTTCTTCTATATATCCTGAAACTAGATAAAAATTATAATTATAAAGACAATGTTAATATTATATATTATTTTCTCTTGGCCACCACTCAATGCCTAGTGTACTTTTGAAAAATAAATAATCATATATCGACATGTCATAATTATAAATTTAGAATATCATATGATATTATAAATATATAAATTTTAATAAATAAAGAGATGCCAACGACCTAAGTAGCTAATCTCCTTTCGTTGAAAGTAAAAGGTATTAAGTTCGAATCGCCTGGCATGTGAGTAAGGTGGGATAAGGGATAGAACAATGTTGTCTCTCGTTATACAACCAATATAAAAAAATAAATAAATAAATAGATGAAAAATGTTTGTCTCCTATTATATAATTCAAAATAGGTAAAATAAAAAAAATCCTCTTGCCCATTTTTAACTATGTTTCTAATAAAATTTCCATTTACTTCTTAGTATTTACCTTTTAGTTGTTCTTCTCAAGAACCAATATTAATATACTATCTCAAATAAAATTAGTTGTCTTATTTTCTTTTTTGTCTAGTGTTCCGTGATAAAAGACAAAACAATTAATTTTGGATAGAGGGAGTAACATTTTAATTTTTCTTAATTTTATCATCAATAGTTCATTAATCTTATTATTGCTTTTGTGACCAAATAATGGTCATTTTTTTATTAAAAAATGTCTTAAATTAATTATTTTTTTATATTTATAGAAAAATTAATTATAAATTTTTAATTTTTAAAAAAAGTAAAA